TACTCAACTGTAATTAATACATTCAGTTTTTACTTTTACTGCCAATTATCTGGCATTAGAGATATATGTTAACTACTTTTTTCAATTATAAAAGTAATGCATGTTAATAGATTCAGAATAATGAAAAATAAAAGATCAAGATCTCTCTCCCAAGTTGCAGCCCCCTAACTAGACAGAATCAGCAATATCAAAGGTGAAAGGAAGGGACAGACCAGACCAAGAACTCAAAGGATGCAATACAGAGAGCTTAGAGACAGACCAGCAACATCTGGTTGCTGGTGAAAGGAAGTGACAGACCAGATCCTTCCTCTTAAAAGAAGGGTGTAAACCAGGTCAGAGAGTCTCTGAAAGTTCCTGAGAAGTGTGTGAGAGCTCCCTGAGGTCTGAGTAAAGACTGGAAAGGAGAAGGAGCGGAGGTAAAGAGATTAACCACCAATTTTACCATAGGTGAATATCATTGATATCTGAAGTATTTAGCTGTATACCAGATGGTAAAGATGCAGATGTGTGATGCTGTGTTCAAAAATGGGTAGAATAATAGAATATAAAATCTGCAGTCTGAGAATAGTGATAAAGTAAACTTCGTTACTGCCATTTTCCAATGAGGAAAACAAGAACCAGTACACACCTACAATCATCATGATTCTATGCGCTCTATTGGCTAATCCATAACATTCTATGCTATATCCAACAAGTAAAGTTTCTTTTCTAGGACATCTTTGAAAAGCAAAACAACAACAATAAGAATGGAGCAAGAGGTTGGAGACAAAAGCTTTACTATGTTAACAAGGGAAAGGATGATAATAAGTATCCAAAAGAAATGGGAATAATGATAATAGGAACAACAATATGTGATGCTGAGCATTTTCTATACATTATAACATTTAAGCCACCCAACAACCTTATGAGGGGAATGATTATTGCCATTTTACAGGTAATATTTATAGTAACAATAGGTGCCACTTGCTATATGCCTGAATGAAAGGTCAGGTGTTTATATTTCAAGAAAGGAACCTAATGAAAGAGGAGCAGGAGGTCCACTGGTTTTTAATACACTAAATTGATAGCCAAATCCACCCTGCTACAGAAGTCAATGGAAATCTCTGTAATGTATTTATTAAATAATTCAAACAAATATTTATTGACTGCCTACTCTATTCAACCATAGTGCCAGGTAGTGAATAAAAGCATTCTGATTAGAATTCAGTTCATAAAACCCTTTGAATAAGTATACGAGTCAACATTTGGGGTGGAAACTTCAGCTTCCTGGGCAGCATCCTCTATAACATTCATTCCCTGTACAACAGATGGACAGTCCAAGGACTTGACCCAGTTTCAAGAGTGGGTCCCTGATCAGTCAAGACCAGTGTTAAAATTTCTCTACTCTTGCCAGAGTGACCAGTTCAGGAATGGCCAGACACAATTTGGGCTAATGACATGCAAGGAGCACTGTATTTGGGGATTTTAGGAAATAGCACACTCTTTCTCAGGGTATAACTTCTGCAACAAGCCCTCTTTCACTTTTCTCATGTCAGAAAGAAAGTACGCAGTACTAGCAGCTGATAGCATACAGTTGAGGCCATCAAGAAAAGCCAGCACTGGAAGATGACGACCCCATGGAAGGCAGAGTGGAGACCTAAAGAAGCTTGTTCTGGAGATCAGATGGAGCCATTGTGTCAAACCCACTGGTAGACTGCGAGCTATGCGAGCCCCCAAATCCCCTCTGTTGTTGAAGCCAGTTTGCGTTTGGGTATTCTGTTATTTCCAACTGAACACATCCCGATAGAAACATCACTCCGCCTATAAGAGTTCCTTTCTCTTTCTATTTAAATAGGTAAGCCATTTTAAAATCACATCTCTAGCCACGTTCCAGTAAAAGCCAACCTCAAAACTAATTAGGAGCAGGAACTGTGTTCATACCCACCAAGTCCCCAACATTTTGTAAAGTCTATTAATGTTACTTTTGTAGGTTCTAAAATCATCAAATTTAATCCCCAAATAACTCTGTGGAGGTAAAGGGAGGACTGGCTTGAGAAATAAGTAGCTCAGAAGGATAAAGCTGAAGTGCTAACTTTTTGGCAATGGACTTTTTCTATGGTTATATCAAAAAATAGCATTCTTTCTATTCATTTTGTTACTCATGGATACAATACCTGTTGAAGGAACCAATTAACAGAGGCTATAAGAAGAGTTGATATGAAAAGTAAAGTAAGATGCTTATTTTCTAGATTTACCTACAAAAACAATGTTCTTTCTGCACATAACACTTTCTACCCTCAAACATACATACATAAAATTTTCTTTTTTAAATTAGAGATGGTTGCCCAGGCTGGCCTCAAACTTCTGGCCTCAAGCAATCCTACCAGTTCAGCCCCCCGCATAGCTGGGACTACACACGTGAGCCACTGCATCCAGCTAGTTTTTATTATTATTTAGAGGGTTTTCCTACGCTGCCCAGGCTAGGTGATGCAACTGTTTACTTAAGCGTCGAGTTTATCCAAGAAATTAATCTTATACCAAGTGAAGAAGGTAGTCTGTGGTGTTAAAAACACCACTACACTTTAGTCTCTGCTATATTATGAAATTTAGTGCTATAACTTCTGCATTTGCAAAGAAAGGCAGTCATTAGAATTTTGGCCTCACAAAATCTTTATCTCGATGATTACTGTGGGTAAAATAATGAATCCAAATTCCTATAAAGCCTCAATATTCCTGGTCCTGTTCTCAGAAATGGCAGCCACATGTTACGTTTTAGTCTGAAAGTACCAAACTGCAAGTGTTTAATTTTAATGGCATATCAAATAGCCCACCTAATGAAAACATATTAACAATTCTAATAGGCACAAGAGTTTTATTTGCTGGGTTGTATTATGACTCTATAAATTTTAATGACATTTAATTAGATTGCAAAGAACTTTCAAATATTTTGACTATCCTTCATTCTTTCCATTAAAAATGCATTATCTTTTTTTCATTTTTTTATAACTTTTTTTTGCATTATCTCCTTTCTATACTTAGGTATACTTTCCTATTTTATCAGAACTTAAGTCATTTAATGAATACACATTTATTGAGTATCTTCTACGTGCCAGACATTCAGTTAAATAACAGAGATACAAAAACCAGGAAGGTGCTATTCTTGCCTTAGAAATCAATCACACTTATAACTAAATAAGAAATGTGAAAACTGCTATAAAATACACGTAAAACTTAGTGGCAAGAAACCAGAGAAGGAAGATTTAATTATACTTAAGAGTTGGGAGAAACATCAAGAGTAACTTTATTTTTGTTTTTGTTTGGGATGGAGTCTCATTCTGTCACCCAGGCTGGAGCGCAGTGGCGCAATCTCGGCTCACTGCAACCTCCACTTCCTGGATTCAAATGGTTCTCCTTCCTCAGCCTCCTGAGTAGCTGGGATTACAGGCTCCCGCCACCACTCCCGGCTAATTTTTTGTTTGTTTGTTTGTTTGTTTGTTTGTTTAGTAGAGACAGGATTTCACCATATTGGTCAGGCTGGTCTCGAACTCCTGACCTCAGGTAATCTGCCTGCCTCAGCCTCCCAAAGTGATGGGATTACAGGTGTGAGCCACCGTGCCCGGTCATCAAGAGTAACTTTAAAAGACAGTGACACGTGAACTGGGTCTTGAAGGATATACAACAATTCTGAAAAAGGTGAGAGAATGTCCCAGAGGTGTGATCTGTATGGAAAGTTCCAGAAACTGTGATGTGGCTCAAGTAAGGGGGTAGGGATAAGGGGACTGGGAAAATAGAAGGCTGGCAGAGTTAACTGAGGCCTCATATACCAGGGGCAACCAGGTGAACCTTATCTTCTAGAATGTTATAGAAATGTGAACGCTGTCTAAACAGGGAAGTGACGTAACAGTTGCGACATACAGGATGAATCTGAGATTTTGGAGGTGAGGGTTAGGGTGGAGAAAGAGACCATTCCCCATGGTCTCTGTTTTTGCACGACTTGCAAACAAGTCATTGGAAAACTTTGTTTCAGGAAATCTTTTCCAGGATGTTTGCAGCAAGAGGCCCTGTGAGAGGGAGACGTCTCCACCCACAGCAAAGACCCAGGCACGCTTTCTTTCTAGTGTAACTAACTCACGCTCCCTGAACTCAGGATTCCTTTTCTGTAACTCAACCAGCTGCATGTGTAGGTGTCATCTGCCCCTTCACATTGTCCTCTGAGAACTGGGGCTCAGAGAATTGACACTACAGCCAATCTCTACAGCTACAGCCATTTCTTTGGCTACTAAACTGTCCCTCTTTACCCTAACTGCAGGCTAACTTACTAGCTTGCAAATAGGGTAAAAATCTCAGACCCTTTAGTTTTTGACAAGAGACAAGTAGAAGCTACAGGAGGTCAAAAATAATGAGGATTTGTGTTTGCAGAGAGCCCACAAGAATGCAGAGCAAACCACAGCAACTGTCACTTAATCAATGTCAGGCGTACTTAGAACTTGCCAAATGGAGATCTTCTAAAGAATAGAGAGAAGACTGGAGCGGATCACTGATAAGATGGGAATGGAAGGAATTAAGAGGGACCCTTGTGGAACTAACTCCAAAACCAAAAAGAAATTTTTAATACATATCCATATAAAGGCCCCTTATCTGCAAAGACTGCACCCTGAATGACTTTCACCTCCTTTAACCAAAGGCAAATCTACTTCTCTAGCTACCTTTCTCACTCAGAGATGGATTTTAATACTAAGCACCATTTGATTTAGCCCAGTAAATTAAAATTTAAGTCTCAATTAGGAGGCATGTTATAAAATTGTTGTAGCTATTATGTGATTTTTGTGTGTTTTTTTTTTGTAGAGATGGGGTCTTGCTATGTTGTCCAGGCTTGTCTGAAACTCCTGGCCTCAAACGATCCTCCCACCTCAGCCTCCCAAATTGTTGGAATTACAGGCATGAGCCACCACACATAGCCCATTTATGGACATTTTAAATAGACATAACTCCATTGTCGTGAACCCAATCATGCTTCTTACCCAGCAACTCATACAGAGAATTCAGAATGGATTTCCAAGACTCCCCCGCTTCTCGCCCAGCAACATCAGCAAAGTGTGCTGCACTGCTGTAGACGTGCAGTCGGTCTATGCACTCGAGCACGAGGTTGATCATTCCCTGGAAGGTTAAAAAAAAAGACATCTAAAACTGTCATTCTGCTTACAGACGAAAGATGCTAAGCTGATTTAAAAATAGAAGTCTGGCTGAAGGTTCACCTACTAATCATAAAGAAAATTGTGATCATTCAAAGGACAGGAAGACACACATTTACATGTGAAATGAAATGTTCTTCAGATAATTCAAGTGGATTTTAAATTCTGAATGTCATCATCAAACAGTGGAAGAACAACCTACAAACATGTACTTCATACTTATGGCATTCTATTGTTAAGTGACCGTAAGAGCAGATCCTTATTCTTAGATAGGCATTATTATTATTATTATTATTATTATTATTATTATTATTATTAAATTAAAGACATAGTAAATCAGGTAAAGCTCATGAAAAGGTATTTTTAAAGCAAATCAAAAATGCTATAATGCATTTTTGCATTATAATGAACTTTGTAAGATACAGCCTGAGATTGAAATTATGCTTTATTATTATTGGTAGATCAACGTTGTAAAAAGTGTGGCAAACCACATAAAGAGCTATAAACCACTGTCTAATCCAACTAATTTATTTCACACAGAATTTAAGAGATACCATGGACCTAAGTACATTTCCAAGTCGCCATCCAGATTGTCTTATATGAGAAGTTGGGAAAAAAACTAAATTAATATTTTAATTTTTACAACCCAATATTTAATTTTACTTCTTCCAGATATTAAATAAATGCAGCATTGTAAAAGAGTCTAACAATTTGGCATATGTGAAAGCTCCCAATAAACTTGTCCATGTTATTATTGGTTTATGTTGATACTTTTTTGCTTTCGTGCCATTGAGGTCTCCAGATAGGTCATTTCTTTTGAATACCCAGTGGGAATGTCCTCAAAAAGTTATGTCAGTTTCAAGAGTTTCTGATGAGATATTAGAAAACAGCTTTAAAAGTAGACAGGGATTATGAGAACCTAGTAATAACACTTTTTGATTTTGTTTTTTAGTTTTATTTCTCTCTGTCACAACTTTTATTTTAGGCTTTGGGGGTTACATGTGCAGGTTTGTTACGTGGGTACATTGTGTGTCACAGGTTTGATGTATAAACAATTTCATCACCCAGGTAATGAGCACAGTACCTGACATGTAGTTTGTCGACCCTTGCCCTCCTCCCACTCTCCTCCCTCAAGTAGGCCCTGGTATTTATTGTTCCCCTCTTTGCGTCCATGTGTACTCAATGAATAACCCGTTTTGTTACTTTTACAAAGCTAAGTATTTATTCCGAAAAAAATCATTATTCTCCATACAAGATGCATTGAAAAGAATGGGAATCCAGCTGAACTAGCCTGATTTATCCCACCAACCCTGGTAGTCTCCACTGAAGCTTCTGACTATATTAGAACATTAGATATATCATTTGGTCCTTCTTTTATTGTTTATAAAATATGACACTTGAGTTCTTTTTAGCAGTGAAACTTTTGGTGTAAGACAATCATACATGGAAATGTAATAGATGCAAAGGGGAAGGGTAGGGTTGCTATGTCCAAGTAGGGTCCCTGGAGCTCAGCCTACTCCGGTAGCCCTCTCTTGACAGCTTCCATCCCCAACACAACGCTTCCTATACATCCCGGGCTATTTCCCAGGAGCACCCGAGAACCTGCTGAATAGTTTGAAAACCCTGATGCTTTCTAAAGCCTGTATTCTTATAGACACTTTAAGATTCTTAACTGATATAACCCACATGAAGAGAACTTGCAAAAGACCAGGGTGAGGACTGAGCAGAGGGTAAATGTCTCTTGCCAGGAGAATGAAAAGATTCATGTTTTTAAATAATACTCATGGATAGTATAAATAAATAAAAACCATGTCTAGATTTCTCTAAGGCCTGTTTCTCCTGTTCAGTAGTACACTTTCTCCTCTATATTGCAAAATGCAAAGATGGTCACATAGATGGAGAATTTTCCCAACCAAGAAGCTGTTTTTACAAGAGAACAACAGAAGAGAAGTGAGTGTGGACAGAAACGCACCTCTTCCTGGAAGAGATTTTGCCGATTCTTCAGGGCTCGTAGTCTGTTCTGTTTGTCTTCATGTTCTAAATGCTCATCGGGCGGGTGAAAGTAGCCAATGAGATCCTGCAGACTTAGACTCACGGATTCTATCGGCAAATCGACGGTGGTAGCCTTCGCTTTCTTGCTGAGCGCATCGAGGCCCCTAAAATAAACCATAAACATTTCTCTATTGTCGGTGATTCACAACTGTATCATTTTTCCATTTGTGGATGATTTCAGAGATTAATCTCTCTCCCTACATCACTGTAAAAGGGACATGTCAGAAAGGTCGTCCTGCTCCTCAAGCAGCGATAAGGAATTCTAATTCAAGTCAGAAACTGTGTAATGTTATAAAAACCAGTATCCACGGCCAGTCATCTAGAGAATAACCTTATAGGCCACAGGAACAGTGCCTACAAAACCAATAGTCGAAATGTTCAGAAACCAGTTGATTTTCACTGGAAAGCTACACACTTTAAAGATTCAGGCTGCATCTTCCCAGATTCATAATTCTGACGTTTCCTTGTGGTTTGTTTTTGAAAAGGAATGCCTAAGTTTTCATGGACCCTAGCTTGCCATTCTGTTTAATTCCTGTGAGTTCAAAAATATATTCTAATGATGTTAATTTAGAAAATTTGCTTATTAATCAGTAAACACATATTAAAATGCCTTTCTATTATCTGAAAGAAATGCATTTAAAAATTATATTAACAAAAACATCATGAAGTATTTTCTAACCTGGGAAGAAAGGTACATTACTGGCATGTAAATGTGTTAATTTGTTGAGCTTACTGAGATTCTCAGTTTTTAAACTCATAGCCTTGAATGTATCTGAAAAGAACTTTAAAACATGATGTCTACAAATCAAAAGTATTTCGAAATAAAACGATTTTAAAAAGCACAACGCATACAATAAAAGAATGGGACAGTACCTCTACTGTAGTTGATACCATAATATTCTATAGCCATGACAAGTTGTTAATGCATAGAAATATTACACTTCCATTCCTGCTCTCTGTCTCAGCAAAACCGTATGCTAACATTTTATCCCAAGCAAATGTTTCTAATTTTCTGACTATGTTGGAACTTACATTATAAAACAATAAAATACTCATGAATGAGAATTAGCTTTGAACTTTATAGTTTTAAAACATTATTTAAAATGTGTCATCACTTCCACAAAGATTGCTAATGATTTTGGAATATTTGATTTCAGCCTTATCAAACAGTAGAAATCGTAAAACTGTACAACTATTTTAAAGTTTTTGCCTGAAGTTCTATATCAGTTATATCAACTGATCTTGGAGGTAGAATTCATCTACCCCCAAGTTTTATCGCCTCTATAAGTTTTTCTGTACCCAAAAAGCAAGAGTGACTTTTCAGTAGAAAATTATTTTTCCCCTTTAACAAGAAAATTTCACATGTAATGAAGTATTTTTCTAAACATTTTACCCCATTAACTCCAATTAAACATAAATAAATGTATAACAAATTCAAACTCAACTCTTAATAAGTGAATACAATTCAAAAATGATTCAGTATCCACATTTTCAAATTTAAGTGAAAACAACAGTAAATGTCAGTCTTTAGGTTATTATATTGAAATAAACATATCTACCATGAGGAACGTAACTATTCAATTACTTTGTAAGAGAAGTCTCTTGTCAGAAGAAATATTGTCCAAACTTCTACAATTATTAATTATGTTATGTTTTAGGGCTTTCATCTAATAAAGAGATGAATATCATCTTAATTTATCATGAACAAAAAAAATAATCAGGGAAAAAAAAAATCATCCAGAAATCCAAAAGTAGTAGAATCACCCTATGCCAGAGTAAAAATGAAAGCTATTAACCCTATGGCTACATTTTGTAATTTAAAGATTAAACTATATTATTACCTAACAAATACAGGTTCCTCCCCTCTCTCATTTACTTCAAGAATATGTTTATGAATATATCCAGAAGAAAAATGAAAACATATATAGTATATATAAAATATATGATGTTATATATATTTATTGTATATATTTGTTATACATTATATATAGTATATACTATTAGTATATACTAATATATATATGGTATATACTATATATATACTAATACTATATATATACTATACTATAGTATAGTATATATATAGTATATATATAGTATTACTATATATAGTATATATACTATATATACTATAGTATATATATAGTATTAGTATATATATAGTATATACCATATATATACTATAGTATATACTATATATATAGTATATACCATATATATACTATAGTATATACTATATATATAGTATATACTAATATATATATACACTAATATATATATAGTATAGCATATACTATTGTTATACTATTAGGTAGTATAGTATATAATACACATACTAATATATACTATTAATTATATATACTATCATATAGAATAGTATATATAATATATACTATACTATACATTATAATATACTATATAATATATCCATTATAATGTATAATTACATATAATATATATGTTTATACACTTCCATGTATACACACACATTATGTATTACTTAAATGCTCATGGTATTACTATTAGAAATATACAACACACATTTTATATATTTTATATATATATTTTATATACATATATATTCTATATACATATATATATATTTTTTTCCCCACCCCAGGCCAAAATAATAGAGCCCCCTCCCCTGCAGACAACACAAATGCGCACACACACACACCATATACACACACACACTCAGTACTACCACCACCACAAAAGACAAAACAGAAGGGTCTCAGAACATAAACCACATAAGAAAAACACAAATGATTAAATAATATTGACTTTCTTTCTAAAAGGTAAAAATTTTAAAACTAGCATCTTAATACAAATTAAGTAAATTGGCATTAATAAAATTAATAGTAAAAAATAACTGAAAAATACTTAGGTGAAAATATTGTAAAAATACTGAGATTTTAAAGACTTGGTACTTTCACGAATGTGATAAAATGAATAAAATTTTTATTTAAAAGCATATGCTCTTTAAAATGCTCAGTAATCATGTAAAACTTTTCAAAGCTTCTGAACATATTAAAAAATCACATAAATTCAGGACTTCTAATTGTTTTTTTTTTTAGACAGAGTTTCACCCTGTCACCCAGGCTAGAGTGCAGTGGTACAATCTCGGCTCACTGCAACCTCTGCCTCCTGGGTTCAGGGTTTAAGCGATTCTCAAGCCTCAGCCTCCAGAATAGCTGGGATTACAGGTGCATGCCCACCACATCCAGCTAATTTTTGTATTTTTGGTAGAGATGGGGTTTCGTCCCTGTTGGCCAGGCTGCTTTCAAATTCGTGACCTCAAGTGACATGCTGGCCTCAGCTTCCCAAAGTGCTGCGATTACAGGTGTGAGCCACCACACCCAGCCCAATTTGCTACTTTGTAAGCCTTATCATTTTACTGGTTGCGTAGCATTCTGTTGTATAGAATGTAGAATACAATACAGTTTACTCTCTGTTGATAAACTCCTGGCCTCAAGTGATCCACCGACCTTGGCCTCCCAAAGTGCTAGGATTATAGGTGTGAGTAGTCACCGCTGTGCCCAGCCTAAATTTGGGACTTATAATAGGTAATACTCATGTGCATTTAAGTAAAACTTGTAAAGTAAAAAAGTAAATATATATATATGCAATATAAACATGATTACTGGATATATATATGCAATATAAACATATATATGCAATATAAACATGATTACTGGAGTTAAATAATATAACTAAAGGGTAAATATAGAAAAGAAACAAGGAGAATAAACCAAAGCTTAATTAAAATTTAATTGTTGAAAAAGCTAATACATGATTAAGGTCAGTTAAGCATAAGAGAAACAAAGGTTCGCTGTGTTTATCCATGGCACTTCTCAGGTGATCACAAGGGAGAGATTGTTAAAAGCACATGTTAGATAACTCAGAAAAATATGGTAAATTTGTGATGGGATTGTAAAGAGGAGGATAGCTAAAAGAGAAAAAAATCAATGCAGAATCAGCAAAGAGGTTCTAGACTACATTTCCCAAGGGGAACAAGGAATCTCATCTGGAAATAAGCACTGCACATGTCACCTAGATGTGAGTGACATTTGGCCAAGATAAAGTGACAGGACAGGATTTACCTTCCCTCTGAAGTAACCCAAAAAACAAAGTATAATGGGGGGTGGGGGTGGCGACCAAAAAAACATGAAAACTTTCAAGACACTGGGTAGCAATGAATAAAGCACAGGAATTCCTGAGGAATGAGAAACAAATCAGATGGGTCCTACAGCTGCCTCAGTTTACTGCCTAGGAGAATTTCCAGGCCGTGGAGCAGGAAGGGAACCCAGGTGTGGCCTGACAGTCTCCATGAGTCGAAGAGACACTGCTGGGCGTCCGGGGAGACCAAGGTTGCTAGAATCCACAGGACAGAGAGAGGAGAGGGCTCACAGGAGGGAACCCTGGAGACCTACAGAAGGTCTCCCTCAAATATTCAGCAGAACACTGATGAAAACATCATGAGAAAACTACTCGAGGCAGGGAACAGAATCACCTGAAAGGATTAGAGGGAACAACAACTGGCCCTCACACCGAACCTGAAAGAGCACCTGTCCCCCAGCAGCCAGACTGGAAAACTCTGCAACTCATGGGGCACTGGATAGAGTATTCGAGGGTCTTGTCTCAATAGTGGGGAATAATTTGCCCTAGACTAAACACTGCTCTTCCCTCCCAGAAAACTCTAAAGGCAAGATCCAAACAAATCAAACCCTTTCTAGGTAACTTAACAGCATCCCAGGAAAAAGCTCAAGAATATTTACAGGAATATAAAAATAGCCAGCATCTAACAAATTCACAATGTCTGGTAACTAAACAAAAATAAGCAGGCATATAAAGAACTATAAAATACAATCATCAATACGGAGTAAAATTAATCAACCAAAAGAAAAATAATTGTCAATCTAGAATGCTGTACACAGCAAAAATATCACTGAAAATGAAGGCAAAGAACACATTTTCAGTTGCACAAAACCGAAAGAGTCTATCTCCAGTAGACTTGCACGATAAGAAATGTTAAGTCCTTCGGCCGGCGCGGTGGCTTACGCCTGTAATCCTAGCACTTTGGGAGGCCAAGGCGGGCGGATCACGAGGTCAGGAGATCGAAACCATCCTGGCTAACATGGTGAAACCCCGTCTCTACTAAAAACACAAAAAATTAGCCAGGCATTGTTGTGGGTGCCTGTAGTCCCAGCTACTTGGGAGGCTGAGGCAGGAAAATCGCTTGAACCTGGGAGGTGGAGGTTGCAGTGAGCCGAGATTGTGCCACAGCACTCCAGCCTGGGCGACAGAGACTCTGTCTCAAAAAAAAAAAAAAAAAAAAAAAAATCCTTCAGGCAGAAGAAAACAATACCTGAAGGAAATACAGATCCACACACACAAAAAAAGAACACTAGAAATTATAACTATGTGTGCAAATAGAGATGTTTTTGTTATTTAAAACTCTTTAAAAACGAATTGACTGTTTAAATAAAAATACAGTGTGGAATTAATAACATCTATAAATGTAAAATGTATGACAAACTGCGAAAACTGAGAAGGAAGTATAATATTATAATGTTCTTACACTATTCATAGAGTGACAAAATATCAATTAAAGGTAGACTGTGACAAATTAAAGATATATACTATAAACCATAAGTAACCACTAAAATACAAATAAAGTATTACAGCTTTAACCCGTAAGTAACCACTAAAATACAAATAAAGTATTACAGCTAATAAACCAATAAAAAGGAGGTAAGATGAAATAATAGAAAATACTCAACTAATCCAAAAGAAGGGGGAAATGGGACAATGACAAAGTAAATATATATATTATACAATATATATAATATATATTATATATATAACACATATATATTACTATATATATGTATATAAATATATATATACACACACACACGAAGTGTTTTTCTTGTGTGGCTTATTTTTTGTAACCCATATGCTCTCATTCTCCCGTGTAAGGGTGGTGATGGTAGTGGTGACAGTGGTGGTGATGGTGGCGTGTGTGCGTGTATCTCTTTTTTATCCTGCTACTAGGTGGGATGAATATAAAATAAATAGGAAGAAGACAGACTTAAGCCTACTACATCAATAATCATATCAATGTAAATGAATTAAACAATACAATTTAAAAACAGGTATTATCAAATGGGATAAAAAAGCAAGACCCAACTGCCTATTGCTTAAAAGAAATGCACTTTAAATATAAAGATACAAACAGGTTAAAGATTATAGGATGCTAATAACAAAGGGCAGGGGAACTAGAGTGGTTATGTTCATCTTACACAAAGTACATGTCATAGCAAAGAATATTACCAGAGTTAAGGACGGTAATTTCATAATGATAAAGAGGTCAGTTCATCAAAAGAACAAAATCCTAAACATGTATGCACTTAATAACAGAGCTTCAAAATGCACAAAGAAAAGGTGACAAACAGCAAGGAGAAACAGAAATATCCACAATTACAATCAAACACTGCAATACCTTTCTCTCAGTAATTAATAGAAAAAAGAGACTGAAAAACGTAAGGAAATTGAAGATATAAGTAATACTAAATTGACACTTTTGAATGCTCTACCCAATAAGAGGAGAATGCATATTCTTTTCAAGTTCACATGAAACATTTACCAAAATAAAGTTTATTCTAAGCCATAAAACAAGTCTTAATAAACTTAAAAGCAATCAATCTCACAAAGTATATTCTCTGACCATAATGGCATTAAATTAGAAATTAGTAACAGAAAAATATTCAGGAAATTTCTGACTATTTGGAAGCTGAAAAAATCTATTGTTCAAAGAAGTCATCAAAGGGGAAACTGAAAGAAAACATATCAATGCTGGGCGCGATGGCTCATGCCTGTAATCCCAGCACTTTGTGAGGCCGAGGTGGGTGGATCACTTGAGGTCAGGTGTTTGAGACCAGCCCGGGCAACATGGTGAAACCATGTCTCTACTAAAAATAAAAAAAATAGCCAGGAGTGGTGGTGCGTGCCTGTAATCCTAGCTACTTGGGAAGCTGAGGCAGTAGAATTGCTTAAACCTGGGAGGCAGGTTGCAGTGAGCAGAGATAGGGCCATTGCACTCCAGCCTGGGCGACAGAATGAGAGTGAAGAGCAGAATGGTGAGAGGGGAGGGGAAAGAAGAAAAAGAAAAAGAGAAAGAGAGAAAGGAAAGCATAGAAAGGAGAGAAGGAAGGAAGGAAGGAAGGAAGGAAGGAAGGAAGGAAGGAGAAGGAAGGAAGGAAGGAAGGAAGGAAGGAAGGAAGGAAAAGAAAGAGAAAGAGGAAGGAAGGAAGGAAGGAAAGGGCAGGGCAAAAGAAGGAAAGGAAGGGGAGGGGATGGGAGGAAGGAATGAAGGGAGGGAGGAAGGGAGGGAGGAAAGAGGGGAGTGGAGGAGAGAGAGGAAGAGAGAAAAGAAAGAAAGGAAGAAAGGAAAATAAAAACATGTGAGGTGCCACTAAAAACAGAAAAGTGTAACACTAAATGCTTTTGTCAACAAAGGTCTCAATGGTATCAGCATTCATCTTACAAAGTTAGAAAAAAGAGAGCAGGGCAAGAAGAAAGAAAACAGAAAGAATCAGACTGGGAATCAGAAAATCTTTTCATAGTTAATAGGGGTTAATGTAACCATCCTATTTTATCATGATAGGTATAACAAATGAATTTCACTCAAATAGCCCAGACAGAAAATCATTTTCAAGATTTAATAAAGCAGCAAGTGTATAATTCAACATTTTTTTACCACAGAATCCAAATTTCTCATACTTGGTACTCTCTCTAATCAGAAAAGTAATTGTTAAAATTTAAAATTATTCTTCCAAAGAGCAGATGGGCTGAAGTAAATCACATTTAAGATGAATTTTGGTGTTTCAGCCACCATAAAAAAAGCCACTTATGGTATACTATCACTACATAATGTCTGTAACACTGAGATAGCAGCTTTCCCACAAAATAGTTTTCAAAACAAATAACCAGTTTTTGGTCTAGTATTAAATTAACTTACCAAATGGAATCTCTGTGGTGCCACTGAATACTCTACAGCAGTCAAATTGAATAAGAAAAAAAGTCCCTCATATTTGAAGAAGTCAGTGCTGACTAAATATAAAATTGACAATTTCAAAGATTTATGATTAATTTGCTCAATCCCTATCATAGGATTGATCAGCTCTAGTAAAGAAAAACTAGTGGGAAGAACAAGATACGAAAAGGCTAAGTTTGTTTCCAAAATAAGTTATAATTTCCAAATTGAACTTCTTGACTAATTTTATGCCGCATTAAAATGTAATAAATTTTTATTATAAGAAATAAATACTATATTAAACTACAAGAATATAAATAATATGAAAAGTAATACAAGTAACAAAAAATACAAAAATGTGGTACGTACCCCATTCGATTTAAGCTTTACTCCCTGACGAGGCTTGGAGTTGAGATGAGGCAGAGAAATGGACTAAACACTCAGGATGTGTGGCCAAATGCTGTGCATATTTTTTGGTTACATATGGCACGCACACATATACACACAGTGTGTGTAGTTTATAAAAGGGATGGTTTATAAAAGAAGTAGAAAATAATACAATCTTGAGTAGGGGAGATTTGTTTTATGCTGTAAAGTCAAAAAAATAATTTACCGACTCAACTACTACAAAAATCCTTTCAAATTCTTTTCCAAATCAATAAACTGGTGAAAAGGTTTGCAATTTATCATAACAGGAAATGAGTATCTCTAAACATAACAGAAGTTCAGAACAACTTAACAGAAATATTAACAAATAATAGGAATAAACACAAAAGAAAAAAGAAATGAAGAAAGATGATCAACAAGAAGTTTCCCCCATCAAATTAGCAAAGTTTAAAGAGACAAATGAAATCCCTCACAAGTCAGAGCATATGTTGGTATAATGTTACCAGAAAACATGTTGGTCACAAGTTTAATTTAGTCTGTAGATATGTAATTATTGCATTTATTAGGTGGAAAAACAGTTTTTATGAGGATTACTTTTTAAAAATACGTATCAAAACTCAGCATATATCTAGGCTTCACTGCCCTCATTGAAAAAGGAACTAGGCCAGGCACAGTGGCTCACGCCTGTAATCCCAGCACTTTGGGAGGCCAAAGTGAGCAGACCACGAGGTCAGGAAATCGAGTCCATCCTGGCCAACATAGTGAAACCCCATCTCTACTAAAAATACAAAAATTAGCCAGGTGTGGCAGTGAGCACCTATAATCCTAGTTACTTGGGAGGCTGAGGCAGGAGAATCGCTTGAACCCAGGAGGCAGAGGTTGCAGTGAGCTGAGATCGTGCCACTGCACTCCAGCCTGGGTGACAGTACGAGATTCTGTCTCAAAAAAAAAAAAAAGAAAGAAAGAAAAAGAAAAGAAAAAGGAACTTTAGGTCCAGTACAAGGAAGAGTAGTCATTAAATCATCCTAATCTATACCTATCAATTACAAATTACACATCTAATTTCCAAAACCATATTCTTTTTAAAAGTTTATTTAAAAGACATTAAATCATCTAATTAACACTTCCTAATGTTTCTGCTGACTTACCAAACAGTATGAGATTTCTTACCATCGTAGCATACTTCTAAATTGCCTATTTGCATATCCAATAAAGAAATGAAAATCAAGTATCAAACAACTACACCTACAAAAGAAAAAGTACCTTATAAATCTATTGAAAAGGAAGACTGTGCTCCGGATAACTCGTGCTGTGCGTGATTCTTCATGCTGGGATCTCGATAAACTTATGCCATCATCCATGTGGCCTTCATGGTGCATAATAGCCTGTAAGAAAGCAAAAACAAGGCCATTACTCCCAACATCTCTTTTCCAAACTACAGTCAGGGAGATGTGTACTCAAACAGCTGAGCCACAACAATAGATAGAATCAAAAGGCAGGTACAGGGGACTATGGAGCTGTTATGTTCAGATAAAATCACATGCACAGCTCCCCATACAAACTAGCCATTCCATTTATTCATTTAGTTATTATTTTATTTTTTGGAGATGGGGTCTTGCTATGTTACCCAGGCTGGTCTTGAACTCCTGGGCTTTAGTGATCCTTCTCCCTCTGCCTCCTGAATAGCTAGAATTACAAGCCCCCATCACCAGGCGCAGCTCAGTTACCAGTTTCAAGAACTACTCAAAAAATGCACCGAGTCAAGTAAAACAAATAGCAGAGCCTTTTCACAAATCTACATTGAATGACTGATCCTCAGCCTAAGCAAACTTGGTACAAAGCAGCAAAGGTAACCTTGCATTGGCACACCAGTCATACAGTAGCTCTGAACACAGACTAGTCAATAATAAGTACTGAACAATGCTTATAAATTATCTAAATGATAAAGATGTATACATATATTTCTTTTCTTTTGATAGCTGTTTTTGTTTGCTTTCGAACTTTCTATGAAACTATGTTAGGAAAGAGAAATGCAAAACTCTTAAGAAAACAGTTCCATGATTTTCACAAGTGAACATTCCTGCATGACCAACACCCAGCTCAAGAAAGAAAACATTACAGTATCTTAAAATCCACCTTAGTGCTCCCTTCCTATCCCTACCCTTCACAAGGTTCACCCCCTTGCAGACTTTTGACAGCACAGATCAGTTGTGTACTATATATAAGTAGAACCATTTGTTCCCATCTGTGCTTATCTTCATGCAACATTTATAGCAAGATAATTTAATACACCTACCCAGGTGTACTGAACAAAATTTAGGAACTATAACTATAAATTATCTAGAAAGCAATGTTAAGAGGAAACTCCTTATATAAAAAAATCAGTGAGACCCAGATATATCTATATTCAAAGGCAATATCATAGCCTTAAGTGCCCTCAATAATACAAAAAAATAACTAAAATGAAGGAACTTGTTACTCATTTTCATATCCTAAAAAAAGAACAGGAAAGAAAGTTGAAAAGTAGAACTAATGAAGATTAAGTGAAATTAACAAACTAGAAGTCAAATAAAGTACTAGAAAAGATGAATAAACTCAAAGTTTGATTCTTTGCAATGATAAATAAAACGAAACTCTCACAAACCAGGCTAAAGATAAAACAGAAAGCAAAAACACAGAGAATGGGAAATTATAATAATACAATACTGTGTGCAACTCCATGGCAAAACCAAAAATCATCCAAATAAAACCAATAAACAAAACTGGTGTTCCAGGGGAACAGAATAGATTCTTACAAAATAAGACTAATCAAAAGGAAAAAGATAATTTAAGATCCAATATTTAAAAGACCTAGGACCAGATGGTTCCACAGGCGAGCTGTGATAAAGCTTCAAAAAACAGCTACCTTTCATGGCAGACTAGTCTAGGCCAAGGATTGGCAAACTACAGTACATCATCTGTTTCTATACAGCCCATGAACTAAGAATGGTGTTTACACTTTTAAATGGTTGGAAAAAAGACCAGAGTAGAATGGTGTTTCCTGACACATAAAAATTAATAAACACAAAAATTGTATGAAATTCCAAATTCAATGTCCATAAGGAGAAATTAACTTCCCCCATAAACATACATGTAATAATTCTGAATAAAATATTAATTAATTAAATCTAGTAGAATTTCAAAAGAATCATATACTATGGCCAAGGAAGGTTTACTCTGTGAATTTAAGAACTCTTTAATAATTGTAAGTCTGGTAACTTATTTTATCAACAAGTTAAAAGACACAACACGTGATTTTTATCTTCTTTATTAATACAATTCAGTAATCATTGCTATTTTTAAAAAGCTAAGTAAAACTGAAATAGCAGGAGGCTACTTAAACATAAAAACAATTTCAACTGTCCTCAGGATGCAAGTTACAACTTCGATAAAATAGCAGTGGAAATTCACAACAGGAAATATGCTGGGATAATAAACCAGCAGACCAGATGAAAGAACAGCAAGCTGAGATAAAAAGGTGAGCTGGGTGAGATAAGGACAAGGAAAAAAAAAAAAAAAGCATGAAAACTAAAATTTTAAAGGCACAGAAAGGGCTTACAAACCGAACAGCACCAAAGAAAAAATGAGTACTTTGGAAGACACATTTGAGCAGCGAAGTGTAGAGAAAAGGTCAGGGAGAACACTGAGAGGAAAGACAGCTGTGTTCCTGAGAAAGAAACCAGCAGACTAAAACGGCACGAAAACAGGAACCAAAGATATGGTTGGAAAAGTAGATTCACATACCCAACTTGTTCCAAACATACATAAAAGTTTTCCAATAATTTAAGTGTATGTTTTAAACATTTAATTAAAATTAAACAAAACTAAAAATGGTGTTCATCTAGTTGTAGTTATATACAAATACAAAATTGCCACATGTGTCTAGCAGTTACTGATTTGGACAGCACAGCCTTATACCTAGCTTCGAGTTCATGGGAATTACCAAGAGCATAGGCAATGGGGAAAAAAAGTCAGACATATCTAGAACATGAGGTATTCTATAATTGGCATGGATTTTTTAAAAACTCGATGGCACAGGAAAAAAATAAGCTGAGAATCTGTTCTAGATAAGAGACTGAAAGGCATAAACATAAATAAGTGCATGAATTTTGATTGTATCCTGATTTTATTCAACTAGAAAAGGTATTATTGGGACAATAGAATAAATATGAATACAAACAGGATAGTCAATGATGTAATAGAACTACCATAATGGTATGTAACAGTACTGTGGATGTGTGAATGCATACACACACAGAGAGAGAAAAGAAAGGAGGAAACGAAAGCAAATCTGGCTAACTATAATTGTTGACTCTAATTCAAGAGTATGTGGATGTTCATTGGTTTAGTCTTTTAACTTTTTTTATATTTGACATTTTTATAAGTAAAACATTAAAAGAAAGAAGATAACATCTGCTAAATCTAGCAGAAGAACCATGACCAAACATCATTATCAAAAGAAAAATTTGCTTTAAAGCCAAATCTACCTCTTCTGTCACAATTTCGACATTAGCTGTTCACCTTGAGAATGCTAACCCAGCTCACCCTGGCTCATAATTCTGTAACGCTAATGCAGTTGAAGACCAAGTTAGCAGGTGCATGGGCAATCTCACCAACTCAATTATAACTCCACATCCTTGAAAATACATGTTTTCATTCAAGAAACATTTATTGAGCACCAACTCTGGTTTCAGCACTCTGCTAGATAGCGAAAATACATAAATCAAAGACTTAGTTCGAATCTCAGAGTTTAGTAATGAAGATAGAATAAGTCGCAATTACATATCTTTAACTCTTCCTTTCCTTTCAGACTCCCGCCCCCTCCTTAGATTGTGTTTAATTTCTGGCTTGTTGGTTTCTGGGGACCTCAAAAAGTAGCATAAGCAATTTGGGCTCAAACATGGAACAATATGGATAAATGTTACAGACCTTTTGCTGAGCAAAAGGAGGTATATACAAAAGAGTACATGCTATAGAATTTCATTTATATAAAATTCAACATCAGCTAAAAGAGAAAAATGATCACAAGATCACAAGGCGGGTGGATCACAAGGTCAGGAGATCGAGACCATCTTGGCTAACACGGAGAAACCCTGTCTCTACTAAAAATACAAAAAATTAGCCGGGCGTGGTGGTGGGCGCCTGTAGTCCCAGCTACTTGGGAGTCTGAGGCAGAACAATCGCTTGAACCCGGGAGGCAGAGGCTGCAGTGAGCCGAGATTCTGCCACTGCACTCCAGCCTGGCCACAGAGCGAGACTGTCAAAAAAAAAATCACAGGAGTAGTTGTCCCTGGGGAAAAGGGAGCAGGAATAACCTAGAAAGGAATGCTGGGAAACTTCTTGGAATTAGACATGTTCCACATGGAGATAAGCTTGTGGGTTAAATTCTACAGCTGCTGAGCTCAGTGGCTCACGCCTGTAATCCCAGCACTTTGGGGGACTGAGCTGGCGGATCACCTGAGGTCAGGAGTTTGAAACCAGCCTGGCCAATATGGTGAAACCCCATCTCTACTAAAAATAAAAAAGTTAGCTGGCCCCAGTGGTGGGCGGCTGTAATTCCAGCTACTCAGGAGGCTGAGACAGGGGAATTGCTTGAACCCAGGAGGCGGAGGTTGCAGTGAGCAGAGATCGTACCACTGCACTGCAGGTGACAGAGCAAAACTCTTGTGTCAAGGAAAAAAAAAAAAACCCTCTACACCTAAATGTTTACATTTCGATGTGTATAAATATTACCCCTAAAAGTTGAAAATAAGTAACAGTAATAATCTAGTGAAACACAGCATAGGATTGGAGTTGTAATTGAAACAACAGTAAGAGAGCATTGAAAATGTTGAATGGTGAAGACTCAGGGGTTCATTACACTATTAGTTATTTTGCATAAATTTAAATTATCTATAATAAAAAGTTTTAAAACTGGCCATCTTCAATTGCAAGAAATAGAGAATGCTTCACAAATATTGAATACATACAAGTACACTTAAATGTATGGGCCTAGATCAAAGACCTAAAAACCAAGGTATCATCTTATTATAATGCTAATAAAGGTCTTGCAGAATTGTCTGAGGATCTCTATCCCAAGCTCTGAGGAAGGTTGTACCGGGATGCACTCAAGTCAAACTCTATGCCTGCAGCATTGGCCTTCACTTTCACTAAAATCAGCACTGGTCAATCTAAATAGATCACAAGAACAGTGATTTATTTAGTTACTGGAATGTGGGTGTAGATTTTGATTAATAAATCTCTTGAAAATAAAAAGGTCTGTATCACTAAAGCCTTCCTTTCCAAGGTCTCACGTTTCCAGAAACAATGTGCGTTGTTATTTGGTTCTGTGCACTGTGCTGCATGTCATATGTAAAAACATAAACAATCTAGTATGATGTACTCCCTCAGGGGAGTTGCAAATTTGCAGGGGGGTGGAGGACAGGGGTGGTGAGAAAAAGAGAGATATGTAGCCTACTAAATAAAATAGCACAAGGAGTGTGTTTATAAAATATAATGAGTTATAGATGAACAATATGAGAACTCAAAGGAAGGAGTAGCTGATAAGCTGATATGGTAAGGAAGAACTTCTAAAATGATAAATAAATTGCATCCCTGGATGATGGATAAGAGTCACGGAGACAAAAAAGGTTTGAAGGTATCCTAAACAGAAGAAACAGTCTGCAGAGGCACAGGTGTGTAAAAGCCATGGTAGTCTGATAGACTGCAAGGAATGTGTTGTTAAGTGACATGCTGGGGAAATTGAAGGCAATGTCTGGAAATCAGGAAGAGAGTAGGAGAACGGCGCAGGCCAGGAAGGGCATCATTATCACTTCCAAAAGGTGGGCCTCTTCTTGTAAGCAAGGGGATGTCAGTAACGGACTTTGTCACAGCATGGAGGACAAAGTGAACTGTACTAAATTAAAATCCAGAAGATGGCACTGTATATTTCTTCACTTCATATTTAAATACACGCATCCCATAATCCTATATATGAGTGATGTCACATCCAGCTATGTTCACCTTACAAAGCTAAAGAGTCTATTACAGTGGAATCTGCCCTTTCGCTTGCAAAATTATGAACTTTTGCAGGTGACTAAAAAGATTAGCCACTTTTTTTTGACTTGCGCTTGGGTATTTTATTCATAAAAAATGACTTCTATAAATTATGTTTTTTTCTATCATCTTACCTTACGTTGTATAGATCCCATTCTCACAGATTTCACATCCACAGACTGGTAAGTAAGCCATAGGCCCGTGTCCACATGTTGTATATAGCATACTGAGTCACCGTATTTTATTTCAGATGTTCCCATGCCATCGACTTCTTTTCTCACCCCTACATCCAATTTTTCCTAAGGAGAGAGGGGGGGAAAAAGGTCAGTAAACATTTCAAAAATACTAGTGTATAGCAAAAGAATTTTGCCTTATTGTAAATATGTTCTTTAAAAAATTCAGCTCTCTGAAGTCCCCTGAAATAATGGCCAAATATTTCATTCTAACAGTTCAACCTCTAACATATGCTTGAATTATTCACATTGGTGGAACATTATGTTGGCCATAATGTAAAATTTTTAAGTTTTATGTTGCATAATGGCCAACTCCAAACCAGAGATCTTAAAATTAGTAATTTAAGCTAAATAACCTTCCTGGGTTTTTGTGGCTTTTTTTTTCTTTATTGGTGATTAAGAGCATAAGTTTGGGGGACAGAGAGATTTAGTTTTGAGTCCAGCCTCTGCAACTCACTACCTCTAAGATGTTAGCAAGTTAATTAAATCTTTTAAGCCTCACTTTTTGCATCCACAAATAAAGCTAATAAGGTACCTCTCCATAGGATCAAAAGAAAAATAAGACAATACATGTAGATTTCAGAATAGTGTCCTTGCGATAAACACTTTAAATTTTTTTGACAATTTTGACAATAATAATGGTGACAATGATTGTTAACCTGTTAATTAAAATGATTATTTATTTTGAACTAATCAAAGCTAAAATTCAGTTTCTACTACTGCAATTTCCAACTTGGACTACGGAGGTATTCTCTCTTAAAGGGCTACTATGCCAAGCTTCCTCTCCTAGGAAGTGGCAATCCATCCTCTGACACCAACCAAATGTTTCTTTCACATCTCTGTATATGTCAGCACTTCCTCCTCCAACATGCTCTCTTTCCATTTTTCCTCCCATGCATAGCTGTGATCTTCAGGAACTCACTATGCCTTAAAGTCTCGTACAGTCCCTAAAGCAACAATGAAAAAGCCAAAGGTACCTCCTTTTTTTTTTTTTTTTTTTTTGAGACGGAGTCTGGCTCTGTCGCCCAGGCTGGAGTGCAGTGGCCGGATCTCAGCTCACTGCAAGCTCTGCCTCCCGGGTTCACGCCATTCTCCTGCCTCAGCCTCCCGAGTAGCTGGGACTACAGGCGCCCGCCACCTCGCCCGGCTAGTTTTTTTGTATTTTAAGTAGAGACGAGGTTTCACCGTGTTAGCCAGGATGGTCTCGATCTCCTGACCTCGTGATCCGCCCGCCTCGGCCTCCCAAAGTGCTGGGATTACAGGCGTGAGCCACCGCACCCAGCCGGTACCTCCTTTCTTTAGTCTCTTATTCTTTTTTCTTCCTTGGTTTAACCTTCCTTGTCAATTTATTTTACGTGTCTTCTATGTCTTTGGTCGTATGACTTTTACTTGTAATTATAGTTACACGAATGTTTTGAAGATTCAGTCAGAGTAAAATGTATGTCTGCTATACAAAAACGAACAATTTTAAAACAACCCCAATGTTTGACTTTTCATGTCATTTGTATAATGTGTTAATAATTAATGACCTGAAAATGATTATGAACACTCCATAAACAATTGAAAATTCAAATTAAAATGAGTTGAAATTTTTAACACAAAAGGTCAAGGTCACCTAATACATAATTATCAATTAAGTTGATTCAATCATTATGCGAATAACTTGAAACACTATTCTAAGCATCTGTAATAAAACAGACAATAAAACTTTTCCAATTTCATTCTATCAACCTAGATAAACTACTAATCTACTTATACCAACCCTGTCAATAGAAAAATTAAATTCTGGGAAAAAAATAGAACACTGTAATTATATCTTCAGAACAGAACAGTGAGCCTCTAAAATTTTTTTTTCGGTCTTTTCTTCAAGCAAATTGGTTTGTGGCTAGATTATTTGTAGGTATATGGATTGTATATTAAGAAGTCACACAATTATTAATTGTGAAATTATGCTTTCTTTGTATTTTATTGATGTATTTCATATCCGTCTCTGGATTAGAAGATTTAATAGTGAAATTTCATGATGATTATGTTTTTTTCATTTTTTTTTTTTTTAGATGTAGTCTTGCTCTGTCACCCAGGCTGGAACGCAGTGGTGCAGTCTCGGCTCACTGTAACCTCCGCCTCCTGGTTTCAAGCAATTTTCCTGCCTCAGCCTCCTGAGTAGCTGGGACAACAGGCAACTGCCACCACGCCCTGCTAATTTTTGTATTTTTAGTAGAGGCAGGATTTCACCATGTTGGTGAGGCTAGTCTTAAACTCCTGACCTCAGGTGATCCACCCACCTCGGCCTCCCAAAGTGCTGGGATTGTAGGTGTGAGCCACCGCTCCCGGCAGATAACTGTTTTAAAAATTACTCTAACCCTTGAGTGAGATAAAAAATGCTGAAGTTACATTAGAAAAACTAAGTGAGATCACTTGCTGAATGAAAGACCAAAGGCCATCCATGTTCTTTCCTTCTTTATCTCCTGCCATTTTCTGTAGCTCGGGCTTAGGAGAAATTCAGATGAAAATAATCTAGATCCTTTGAATGACCATAAGCTGAAGTACAGCATGTCCCACAAATGTGACATCTAGTAAAAGCATCCAACAGAATATTAGCCTGTGTTACTGGAAATAAAGTGCTCAGATTAGGCAAGTAATAATCTTACTAAAACTCTGTATTAGCTGTACCATATCTCTATTAATGGCCTTAATTTTGGCATCAGCTTTCAAATTTTATTTTTCTTTGGAGTTGTTCTATTTTGGAAAATGATGAAGTAATTCACTGGAGTGAATTCTCCTATAGAAACTATTATACAATTTGGAAAAAATACTTTTAAGAATTGACTTAAAGGCACATGGATCAAAAGCAGGAAGAAATTGAAAAGCAGATCTCTCTCAAAAGGCAAACAGCACCTTATGTGATTGGTAAGTGGCTGCCTTTTGCTTTGGGGCATGCAGTGTCCAATCTGTCTGCTACTCTGGCAACAGAAATCTGCTGCTTTATTGGCTTCAGGTATCAGAGGATATGCTTCAGGGCTCACAAGCAACAGAATAATTAGATGTGCTAAATCCTGGACACAAAGTTACCTACAAAACCTTTGTAAAAAATTTATCCAAATTCTGCTGACTATGCATGCTCTAGGAAAGCCCAGTATAATGGCAACAGATGGAAGCTGAAAGATTTGAGTAAAAATATAAGCAACTCCTCATGTAAAAGAGAGAAAACTGAAGTTTCAATCCAATGAGGTTAACTGCCTGCAAAACCAAAATCACTCTTCAGAAAAAAACTTGAAGTTCAGAGCCTCTACTACATATCATTTCCAATATCCAATATGCTGTCAAAAATAAGCAGATATAAAGAAACTAGAAAATGTGAGCTCTATTTTTTGGAAAAACCAAAACAACAAGAGTATAGGTAATACAAATCAATGCAAAGATGGCGCAGATCCTACAACTAGCAGACAGGGACTTTATAGCAACTATTATAAATATAAAATATGTTCAAAACTATAAAAGAAAACATATATATAATTAATAAATAGAGCTAAATTATACATCACAAAAAATAAATGAAATTGAAAAATGAAAAGAATAATTTAAAGACAAAAATAACTGGGTCAGCTTAGCATCAGATTGGAATTGTATAAAAAAGAGTTAATGAAATTAAAAGTTAATCAACAGAAATTTTCCAATCTGTAGATCAGATTGCCATTAAAACACTCTAGTTTAAGTATTTTGCTATTAAATGGAAACTTCCCTCAAAATACTATATAAAATATAATTCCTATACCTCCTACACTTAATCAAGAAAATGTCAAGATCCTCCTAATCTTAGCATTATCTTATAAGCATTATCTTATTCATTAAAACCTGTACATTTTTAACTTTTACAGTCTTCTATCCTGCAAGAATAATCTTGAGACCTTAAGAGCTATAAAAATACTCAAAGATAAAATAACTCTTTTCAGCACAGTCTAGAATTATTGCAAACACTGCTTTTTCAATCTAAGAGGTTTGCATGTATATTTTCTCTTTTCATTCATGTACTCTCATAGCATGTTGTACTTCCACTATCAGGGAAATGTTGGCACTTTGTTAAAACTGTTCCTCAATTGTCTTCTTTCCACTTGACTATCATTCACCTTTTTGACAGCAGGAATCATATGTCTGATTCCTCCACCCTGACCCCACATAGTCTCAGGACCAGAACAGTGCCTGCAAATGTCAGATCCTTGATTAATTTCTGGAAATCCCTTCAGATTTCCCATAAAAACTGTGCTGACAAATTACTCCCATTATGAGCATTCAAATAATCCCATTCGTAAGTGCTTGGAACATCTAATTTTCAAATGAATATTAAAATAGACCCAGATGTAAAAAGATTGGTCTGAAAAGTATTAAGTGATATCTGGCACTGGGTATACCAAACTGACTCATAATGAAGCCAAAACTATTTCTGAAGAACTGTGGTCTTATATATATATACTAAGTGATATATGCATACTAGATATACAAAACTAAACTCAGTGAAAGACTAAAACTAGTCCTATGGAATTATTTCTTATAATACAGAGCATGCAGTTCAGAGAAATTCTTCTAGCATAGTTAAAAATCATCCTTATGTCTATCCGAATTACTCTGTCAGGTAACTAAAGAAAAAAGGCCTTTATCCTTAGATGATGGGGTTTGTATTGATATTTTAATAGCCAGGTCTCTTTAAGACAAATAATGGTTAAAGTTAGAACAAAATTAAAAAGTCAAAAGAATTTTTGTATGTGCTCCTTTGTGGTGCCACACTGCAGCATAGAATAGCTGGGCACTGTGAAAAGAGAGTCTAAAAATGTTACATGGTAAGAGAAATGACTGGTACTGACAGGCCAGGCTTAGCCCTTCCAGGACAGAAGTGCCAAAAAAAAAAAAAAAATCACACATGATCCCTCGGCTTCTCAGGAGAAGTTACTCTGATGAGTGGGTTTGTGGAAAGAAAGGATTTGTAAAGTTTCTCATGTTGAAGGGGTCTTTGAGGGGATTCCACAGCAGCAGTCACAGAGCTTAAGGTCACAGCGCCTACATAACAGCCC